GACACAAAACCACCTTCCCTCAGACCTACTTAGTGCCATGATGAGAGGGCTAAGCACCTGAACTGAGAGCTAGTGATTCCAGTCCATAGCCCTCCATACAGGATAAGCAACCAAAAGACTGATTTGGGAGTTCCATCACAAACTGCACTTAGGGACCAGTTTGGGCCAACATTAGTCACATCCTCTGGCCTTAGCTACATGACTACCCCTCCACAACCCACCCACCACTACCAGTGGTATCTGCATCTGTATCACCATGGAGAACCAAAGGAGAGGACAGAAGCTCCCAGGCAAGGAGAACTCTCAGAAAGATCTTCCAAGTCACTCACAAATCTGGAAGTGCTCCTTCCGCCAGTCTACAAGAGAACCAACAAGTTCATGTCAGATTACAGGCTTTGAACATTAGAATCAACTCCTTTTCTTATAAAACATATTGATGCAGGAGTTCTAGGTGGAAACGTTTTGGAAACATAAAAGTGACGTATTTATTTTTCCCTGTCTCTCACACATCCAGAACACTCACCTTCCCATGAAACCTTGCAGCTTTCCCTAGAAAGCTAAACCATGAGACTGAACATAGTCTACTTAAACAAAAAGGTCAGTGCCCAATTTTGGCTATCTAAGTATACTTTCTATCCAGGCAACTACATTTAAACCTAGGTATTGTTGAAAAATAATTGAGGAAATTAGAGTTATTGATCAAAGACAATAAAAAATAATTGATCAAAGGCATCTATTTACTTATGAACTGTTGCTAGAGTTAAACTTGAAAGGTGACTCTAAACAATGCATAGAGAGAAATGCAAATGGCTGAGCTGAACTTACAGAATAACTATAAGCCATGCTGTGATTAAGTGCCATGCAGTTGGTTTCAACTCATAACAACTCTGTACAGGGTTTCCAAAGCTTTAATTATTTTGTACAAGCAGAGGAGTCATCTTTCTCCTGTAGTGTCTAGTGAAAACAAACAGCCATGTCCTGAATTTTCTTCCCTTTTGGCTTATAGTCATGGAACATAGTGGTTCCATAGGACATGGCAATAACTGACCCAAGTTAAAAGGCAAAAGAGTGATTTTAAAGAAAGAAGAAAGAGAAGTTCAAAGCATGAAGCACATACACACAGTAAGAGATCAGACACTAGTGATCTGTCTCTCTTCATCAGGTACTGGGAGCAAAAACACTCATTTATCCATAGGAAATATGAAAAACATTGAATCTAGTTATTCCCTTCCTTCAAGAATAGCCCATAGCGAAAACCATCACCATAGAAAGCTTGCAAGTCC